ACTATCACAATACTGCTTCATATCCAACAAGTTTTTCCTTGAACAGAATTATCTGGAGACTAGATTTGTTCAACAGGAATCAAACACTTCTTTTCAAGAGATAAAAGGAAACAACATTTCTGATTCAAAAGGTCGAAACATTTCTTTCAGGGAGACATAAAACAATATTTATGATTAAAAATATCATTGACCTATGTCCTCTCAAAAGTTAAAATATCATTTTAACTTCTTTGTGTATGCTCAAGTCATAACAGGTGATTCAGAATATTGATTTTCTATAACAAAAATAATATCACCAAGTCAACTCATGACAAATGAAATGTTTGTAATCAAGAAAATGTTTTACTACACCAGAAGCATGATTTGTGACCGAAGGAAGCCGTCATAAAGTACCTCCCCACACTGTAGACCCAGGCCAAGCTAGAATCTATACATCTCCACCACACCCCTATATGAAACAGAACATTGCATATCAAGTAATACTTTTTGTTAAAAACAACATTGTGACCTCAATTCACTGATTAGATATACATAATAATTTAATAATGTATTCAACAAAACAGTCATCTGACTTCAAACTGCAAAGTGCATTTCATTTATGACCTTTATACTACTTTAGTTAACCTATAAAGTACTTAATTTTGACCCACAAGGTCAACCTTTCCATGTAGTTAATTATGTGAGAATGTTGACCTTATAATATACCATGTTGACCCTTCAAGTACACAAGGTTGGCCCTACTAGTACTTCATATTGACCCTTTAAGTACACAAGTAAAGCCCTACTAGTACTCTATGTTGACCCTTTGAGTACACAAGATTGACCCTACTAGTACTCTATGTTGACCCTTTGAGTACACAAGGTTGACCCTACTAGTACTCCATTTGGACCCTTTACAAGTTCTCAAGATTGACCCTACTAGTACTCCATGTTGACCCTTTGAGTACACAAGGTTGCCCTACTAGTAATCCATGTTGACCCTTTGAGTACACAAGGTTGGCCCTACTAGTACTCCATATTGACCCTTTGAGTACACAAAGCCCTACTAGTACTCTATGTTGACCCTTTGAGTACACAAGGTTGACCCAACTAGTACTCCATTTGGACCCTTACGAGTTCTCAAGATTGACCCTACTAGTACTCCATGTTGACCCTTTGAGTACACAAGGTTGCCCTACTAGTACTCCATTTTGACCCTTTGAGAAAACCAGGTTGACTCTACCGGTACTCCATGTTGACCCTTTGAGTACACAAGGTTGACCCTACTAGTACTCCATATTGACCCTTTGAGAAAACCAGGTTGACCCTACCAGTACTCCATGTTGACCCTTTGAGTACACAAGGTTGACCCTTTGAGTAAACAAGGTTGACCCTACCAGTACTCAATGTTGACCCTGTGAGTACACAAGGTTGACCCTACTAGTACTCCATGTTGACCCTTTGAGAAAACCATTTTGACCCCACCAGTACTCTATGTTGACCCTTTGAGTACACAAGGTTGACCCTACTAGTACTCCATGTTGACCCTTTGAGTACACAAGGTTGACCCTACTAATACTCCATGTTGACCCTTTGAGTACACAAGGTTGACCCTACTAGTACCTCATGTTGACCCTTTCAGTACACCAAGTTGACCAATGAAATATACAAGATTGAGTAGTTATACACAAATATAGGGGATTTCCAGTAGATGATGATAGGTAATGATTTATATTCATTCAAAAGAGTGATTTCTCAAGTAGAACTAATGAACTGCATTGAGATACCTGAGAATGGACATAAATCAAAATTGATCATCATTAGTTGGATATTATCCTGCCTTCAAAACATTAAAGTATACAAAATGTGTGACTTCATATTATTTTTTTAACTCCTGTCAAATTATCTAAAAGTAAATCATGGGTTTGTAGTCGGATAAAAACCTTACAACACATTGAAAAAGAAAGGTAAACACTCTTATAAAAAGGGATCAGTTTTGTTGATTGCACAGTGTACCAAAAATACTATGTGCATACATTGTCTGCAAATCGTGTGCATAATTGTGCAATCTAACAATTGCCCCCCCCCCCCCCATTGTGAGCTCAATGCACCTATGATTTGATTAATATTTGTTGAATTATATTGCAGAATGAGACAAATTGGAAGGCTCAGGTGGAGTAAGGTACAAATTCCATTTCCCATCAGTAAATTTTGTAGTAATACATGATACAAACTACTACAATGACTATACAACTATCAGTAATGGGTTTGTGATCTCGGGTAACAGTTCAAGAAGAACCTTTACAAGTAAATGATCCTAAACCACGGATAAAGTCAGTGGCAATGTTCAATTCTTCATTCAATGCTTGGGCTAGTTCCTGCAAGTGAGACAGCTAATTTTGACATCAACTAATGCTTCAATGAAGAAAATTGCAAATGATTCGGATGGCCAATCCAAGACCTGAACATTGTTCTACTGACATGACTGGTATTCACTGGCAAGTTATCTTGTTAGAAAATAATGACGATGTAAAAATGTGAATATCACCGGCCTTCAAATTTTGATCCTGATAATACATCCCATTCAAATTCACATTCACCACAAAGTCTAGTACAGTTCCCTCTATAAATACCACCCCATACCATCACATTACTGTGACCAAGTCCAGTTCAACAAGGCAGCAATTCATAAATCATTCATTCCCTACATCTCCGGACTTTACCCATGAAAAATATGGATTCATCTGTAGACAGAACATTACTACAAATGTGAAACATTCAACGATGGTGTAAAAGGGCCATTTTCAAATAGTTTCCCAAAATTGGGCAGTTGCAGGACACCCAAGCAATGTTCTCATAGTTTCGTTTGCAGGATCAAAGCAATACCCCAGGTGTTACACTGGGACGGTCACTTTGGGGACTGTTAGACGTTCACCTAGTTTAGTTCTGACAATTCAACAAAAGGTTACCTGTTTTCACACTGCAACCAAATTGTCATGCAGCCTGGAAATGTGACACCCCTTTATGGAGCATGCTAATTACCCGTTCACTCTGAACTTGTGACAGCCATAATATAAATGAAATACATCTTGGTAATATTCTTTTTTGAGATTTCCTTCAGCACAGGATGTAACAAAAAAAATGTTTTTTTTTTTTACTACAGCCAATAATGGTGTAATTCACAATGATTTTTGTTAAGAAGAAATAGGAGATCTTGGGCCACCAGAAACTTTCATGCTAGAACAACTTGAATGAATAGGGTGCTGTTAGATAGGTAATTCAATGCCAATTCCATAAACTACTCAAAAATGATTTATTTTCACCAGTATAGAGGTTTTCCTCATGCACATGTGGTAACCTTTTTTTTTTTTTTTTTACTGTATAGCTATTTAGGAACTGATGTCACCCACAGCAATTATGAGTGACAAAATGTATGGCATATTGGAGTGTTGACATCTATAACAGTTATGGGAGTGATGAAACCTATAGCAGGTATGGGAGTGATGAAACCTATAGCAGGTAGGGGAGTGATGACACCTATAGTAGTTATGGGAGGGATGAAACCTATAGCAGATATGGGAGTGATGAAACCTATAGCAGGTATGGGAGTGATGAAACCTATAGCAGTTATGGGAGGGATGAAACCTATAGCAGGTATGGGAGTGATGAAACCTATAGCAGGTATGGGAGGGATGAAACCTATAGTGGGTATGGGAGGAATGAAACCTATAGCAGATATGGATAGATGAAACCTATAGCAGGTATGGGAGTGATGAAACCTATAGCAGTTATGGGAGGGATGAAACCTATAGCAGGTATGGGAGTGATCTAACCTATAGCAGGTATGGGAGGGATGAAACCTATAGCAGATATGGGAGTGATGAAACCTATAGTAGTTATGGGAGGGATGAGACCTATAGCAGATATGGGAGGGATGAAACCTATAGTGGGTATGGGAGTGATGAAACCTATAGCAGATATGGGAGTGATGAAACCTATAGCAGGTATGGGAGTGATGAAACCTATAGCAGTTATGGGAGGGATGAAACCTATAGCAGGTATGGGAGGGATGAAACCTATAGCAGATATGGGAGTGATGAAACCTATAGCAGGTATGGGAGGGATGAAACCTATAGCAGTTATGGGAGGGATGAAACCTATAGCAGTTATGGGAGTGATCTAACCTATAGCAGGTTTTGGAGGGATGAAACCTATAGCAGTTATGGGAGGGATGAAACCTATAGCAGTTATGGGAGTGATGAAACCTATAGCAGGTATGGGAGGGATGAAACCTATAGCAGGTATGGGAGTGATAAAACCTACAGCAGTAATGGGAGTGATGAAACCTACAGCAGTTATTGGAGTGATGAAACCTATAGCAGTTATGGGAGTGATGAAACCTATAGCAGATATGGGAGGGATGAAACCTATAGCAGGTATGGGGGGGATGAAACCTATAGCAGGTATGGGAGTGATGAAACCTATAGCAGATATGGGAGTGATGAAACCTATAGCAGGTATGGAAGTGATGAAACCTATAGCAGTTATGGGAGTGATGAAACCTATAGCAGGTATGGGGGGGATGAAACCTATAGCAGGTATGGGAGTGATAAAACCTACAGCAGTGATGGGAGGGATGAAACCTATAGCAGTTATGGGAGTGATGAAACCTATAGCAGGTATGGGAGGGATGAAACCTGTAGCAGGTATGGGAGTGATAAAACCTATAGCAGGTATGGAAGTGATGAAACCTACAGTAGTTATAGGAAATACCAAGAGGCCCAATGGGCCTGAATCACTCGCCTGGTATTAATCTCACATTTGTAATCTTAAAACTGGCCAAATACCATCATCCTAGGCCTCATGGTTATTGAGAAGAAGTTGTTTAAAGGTTTTAAACATATTTGACCGCTGTGACCTTGAAAATTGGCGAAGGTCATTTGTTTGAACAAACTTGATAGCCCTTCATCTTAGCATGCTATTTGCCAAATATCACCACCCTAGGCCTTTTGGTTACTGAGAAGAAGTTGTTTAAAGTAAAAAGTTGACGCCGGCCGGACACCTGCCATGCCATAAGCTCACCTGGCCCTTTGGGCCATAAAAATGAGATCCAGTGACTTTTACAATAAGACTGCATTTTACAATAAAACTGGATTTATATGTATAACAATATTATTGTTACAACGAAACAGGATCTATTCTGAGAATATGTATTTCTTATATACATTGTACTAACAATATCTAAGGTAAACTTATGTAAATACTACATAATATTATGATCAAAATGTTTACAGGTAATCTTAACAGTTTGATTTTACCTGTATCTTACATATGAAGAAAATCTTATTCCAGTACATTCTAATCTAAAGTAGCCCATTATCAGCTATTAGATATAAGCTATACATACAGTACTTGGCCCTCATTTCAATGTCAACTTGAGCGCTTTGTTTAAACACCCTTTATCCACAGAACTATAAAACAGGTCTGATTTACTAAGAATTTCTATCTACTTGTGAATGACAAAACATCACTGAAAAGTGTTGTTCCTGTCAAAAAATAAAATTCGTTGAATAAACTACAAAAAACAAACTTTTAAAGATTTATCAGTCATGATTGTCTTGTAACTAATGGTCGTTGATCACAGTAGCACTACAGGCAAGACTGACCACTATAAACCTGACTGAACACTACTGTTACATAAATAATACATCTTACTGACCTTGAACTCTCCTGTTGTGCAAATAATACACCTGAGTGACCCCTGGCTGACCTCTTTCTGATAAAGAAAGGTTTTCTGTTACACCAGAAACATGTTCTGCATGTGGCATATAGAGTTTTATAAGGAACATAACCAACATAATTATCATATCTATATATCACACAAGATCACCAAATGTAACACAAACTGGGGAAAGGGTCACACAACTTAACTAGGTGAGCACTTGTTCACCTGTGTCTGATATTAATTGCAACATAAAATAAACACATGTTTTAAACTCTGTTACATTTAACTGCAAAAAGTTCCTTTTACATTCCAATCTACCCCTATATATAATAGCCCTCCATTTCCATAACACCACTATCCCTACATTAGGACATCCTTACTTCACCACATCCTGAGATACCCTGCCTTCTTCCTCAAGGCATGCGAGGGTGTGGAGAAATCAAATACTGCCCTGTTCCTTCAATAAGTATAAGGAGTTAGGATTTCCAACTCTACACCCTCCTTATAAGAAGTATAAAGACAACACAGGCCTGTGAGCATTACACACCACTAGTTTCAGTACTCTGAGAACTAGAAGAAGAGGGTGATAGTGAGGTCTGCTGCTGTCCGCCACCATCATCCTTAGAGAACTTGTAATGCTCCTGTACAATCTGGGCTAACTTTGTGAGCTGGTCAGATGTTGATTTGTTTTGGTGATCAGACCTAGCAACACTGCCTTGTTCCACACTGGCTGTGCTCACTTCGGCCTCGGCCCCTTTTGGTGTGTTGTAGGCAAACTGAGGCCTCCCTGCCTGTTTGTCTTCCTTGCTCTTCCCCTGTAATACAATGTCAATCTGACTGCCTCCACTGCTGGTACTGGATGTGTCACTCAGACTTCGGATACGATCCATCTCTGCAGGGGCCATCAATTTTGGAGAGTCATCACTACTTGAAGGTATACATGCACCATTCTCTCCCTGAGGGAGGAGTGATAGAGTTGGTGCCTCAGCTGGTCGGAGAGTCTTGGGCGACTGGTGGGCAATCTCTTTCCCCTTCAGTTTTTGCCTAGTGATTTCTTCATCTGATGAAGTTGATGAAGCCCGAGATCTTGACTGATTAGATGACACATAAGTAGGTGGACTACTTTTACTGTGCTGTCGTCTGACTGGTGTGGAACTACGATCACGTTTTTCACTCTCAATAGCCAGAGAGGTAGATCGACCTCGGCTCGGCTTGATTCCCTCCGGCCTCTTTGGACTGTGTGAATGACTTCTGCTGTGTGAACTCGATGCAAGAGTCATTATTTTAGAATCTGACATTTTACGTGCAGAATGCCTCTTCTTCTTCTTTGACAAGTCCTCAAGAGGAATGTCCTGTGACTCAACAGGAGAGGGGGAATGTCGACTGGGTGAGGCCCCACCCGTCTGTTGATTAAAGGAATGGTAGGCAAAGCTTGTCGCTTCCTCAGCCACCTCAATGTCTTGTTTACCAGGGGGAACAGTCTTCTTGGAACCACTCTTCATGCGTGCAGCCTCGTCCGGCACATTTGGTAGCAGTCTGTGCCCTGACTTAGTCACCCCCTGGGATTGGGATTCAGTGGAGTTTTCAGACGGTGTTGGACTCGGCGTATGACCAGTGGTTACTCGCACTGCATGACCTCGTCCTAAAAAGAAAGGGTAGAACTTAAATGGTAAAATGTTATACTGACACTAGGTGAAGCCCTATGTCAATAGCAGTAAAATTTACATCAAAACATTTTATGCATGTCCTGATTAATGGATTAACAAGAACAAGATTTGAGAGTGATCTTGGAACTAAACTAAGACCTTTGTTCTGTGTACATTTAATCTTTTATCTGTTAGATTATAGTCATGTCATCAATAAATGCATCTTTTGGATCAAAACCTACTACAGCTTGGTCTGTCATTTACCTTTCAATTTTCAGTTTGTCCTTTGGACAAGTTAGTAAAAGAGATTGGACAAGAGGGATATCTGATTTCTGGTATCAAACCTTTTCTTCTGATCAAACTAACGATTAACAATAAACTACAATGGTCGAATTCAAAATATTTGTGTAGTGGTCCTCTTATGTTTCTGATCAGGCTGAAAACAAATTACATACAACAAAGAACCAAGCAGAGCCTAAACAGGAACCCTCCTGTACATTTCATGATGGTGTACATACACTATACCTGTTGGTGTACATACACTATATATGTTGCCAAATTGCCAACTTTTGGCCCCGCCCCTCAGCCCCACCATTTGTACAATTGTGAATCCCAACCACCTAGGGTTGCTTCCAGACAAATATTGTTGATATCCATCTCTTAGTTCCAGAGAAGAAGTCACTTAGCAATATAGCCAAATAATCCTTTTAGGCCCCGCCCCTCAGCCCTACCATTTGTACGATTTTGAATCCCCATCACCGAGGGATGCTTCCGGTGAAATATGGTTGATATCCATCCCATTGTTCCAGAGAAAAAGTTGCTTAAAGCAATATGGCCATATACATGTTGGTATATGTTAGTGTACACTGTACATGTTAGTGTTCTTGTTGGTAACTGAACCAGATTTGACCCACATATTATCAAGCTACACTTTTACGATTTACTTTACAAGATAATTGTACCTGAACAATGATATCTGGTGATAAATTCAACACTCTGGGTTGTATAACAACTGTAATTCAAATACAGAATGTTTGCCATTATCATACAGCCTCCTTGAAATCTGATCAATTTACAGGTGAAGCACAAAGTGTGATTCAGTTACCTTGATCAGTTCACTATGTATGGATGTCTTAAGCTTTCCTGTTAAGTACCCTTGTATTTCCTGAGAATTTGTTCACGTGTGGGCAATTGAAAACAAGTCAAAACATTAGAATTGGACAAACATGGGAAGCACTATATGCCCCAATCTAAAATGGGGGGTCAATAAAATTATAATGAAATTGTATATATACCACTTAGACTTTGGCACAGGAGTGGGATATCTCCTGGGTATGACTTAGACT